TTGAACATTTAATTTAAATAAATAGTAAATAGGCATTATTGCTAACGAAATTTTGTATTTAAAAAGTAGTTTTATAAGAAAGTTTTCTAAAGGTAGTTTTTAGCCCTTTTTGGTAGATAAATAAGAGGTAAAGAATCATAGTTGCTAGCTAAATTTTATTTTTATAAGGTATTTTTGTAAGGTATTTTATAAGGTATTTTTATAAGAATATTAGATGAAATACAGGATGACCTACTTAAAATTCATCTTATTTGCGGTCAAATCGAAAGTGACATTGAATTTTCAGTCTTAAAACAAAGTAATCTAGTATAAGCAAAAAAAAAATACTAAAGTTACAGGAGTTAGGTCCGATTCCACCGTTGTGTTAAACGGAGATTAAAATGACAGTGTTAATGTAAAAATGTCATTTTAAACTTCGTTTAACACAACGGTCGAATCGACCCTTAGTCACGTTAATAAAATGTTACATTACAAACCCCTAAACAACTCGAACATAATTTTCGTTTACTAAAAAAAATCCAAAATTTAGCAATATTTATTTATTATACAATCGAATGCGATTTCAAAGATAACTGGATCAAAAAATCCGAATCTCTAAATTTTGGAGCTAAATGCTCAGATAAAAGCAAGCGACCGATAGAGATTACAAAAATAATCGATTTATCGATAATTCTGACATTTTTTAATGAAAATCGATTTATCCGCTGTTTTTAATAAATTATTTTCGTTTTTTTTTTAAGATAATGTATTAATCGATTTTAAAGGAAATACAAAAAAAGTAGATTTATTCAAAATAATCGATTTATCGTTTAATCGGTTTTTTAATTATTTGATTATTTTCAATTTTTCAAAGATATTATATAAAAATAATCGATTGAATATAATCGGATATTTTTGTTATTTTTTTAAAATTATCGATTTATTGGATAATCAGCTTTTTAATAATCAATTATTTTCGATAATCGAATAATCAATTTTAAAGGAAATATGAAAAAAGGATTATTAGAAAATAATAGATAATTCGTTTTATTTTTTGGAAAATCGATTTATCATAGAATCGGCTTCTTAATTAATTGGTTATTTTCGATTAGCCGATTATTTTGGAATTATTGATTATTTTTGGTATTTCAAAGATAATCGAATTATCGATTTTAAAGGAAATACAATAAAAATAGATTATTGATAATAATCGATTAATCGAAAATAATCGATTATTTAAAATAATCGTTTATTCTGTTTTTTTGGAAAATCGATTTGTCAGTTAATCGACTTTTTAATTAATCGATTATTTTTGAAATACAATAAAATAGATTATTGGTAATAATCGATTTATCATAGAATCGGCTTCTTAATTAATTGATTATTTTCGATTAGGCGATTATTTTGGAATTATCGATTATTTTCGGTATTTCAAAGATAATCGAATTAACAATTTTAAAGGAAATACAATAAAAATAGATTATTGATAATAATCGATTGATAGAAAATAATCAATTATTTAAAATAATCGATCATTCTGTTTTTTTTTGATCGATTTATCAGTTAATCGACTTTTTAATTAATCGATTATTTTTGATTAATCGATTATTTTCGATTTTTCAAAGATTATCGAATAATCTGTTTCCATGGACGAAAAAAAAAATGGTTTATTTGAAAATAATCAATTATTTAAAATAAACGATAATTCTATTTATATTATATTTTGTAAACACTGATTTATCGGTTAACTGGCTCTTTAATTAATCGATTATTTTTGATTTTTCAAAGATAATCAAGTAGTCGATTTTAAAGGAAATGACAAAAAATATATTGTTTGAAAATAATCGATTGATCGAAAATAATCGATTATTTTCAATGATCGATAATTTATTTCGATAATCACTCATCCCTAGCGACCAAATGACTTTTAATAAATTTAAATTTTAAAATGTTATCTGGTTTCAGACATATGCATTTCTAGAGTTTTATGTGACTCATCCTTTATAATAATTAATATTCTTAAAGAAAGAAGCCTTAATATACTTTTTTCTGAGGTTACAATACAAAACAGCATTTTGTCATTTTGACTAATTTTTAATAATAAGTAATAGCCGTAGAAAAAATATAATGTTCAACTCATAAGGGTAGATTTGCAGTATTAGCCTGCGCACATGCTATTTTTATAATACTCGTAGACAATGAGTAACACTTTTTGCTCTATTAACAATATATTCTATTTCAACATTTTACTGTAATCTCTTGCAGAAAAGTCCGTAGTAAATAAACGAAATATTCTATAAAGGGTCTTCTCTTTACATAAAATGTCGTGGCATCTGTTTGATATTAAAAAATCACGTTAATTTCATTTTATAATACAAAATTCGATTAAACACCTTTTAAATAAACCTAATAGTTTATTAAGATGCTAATAAACAAAGTCCGGTCCATGTCACAGAATTCGGGTCGCCGCGTGTCGCCGCCTAGTTCCCCCACTCCGTTAACCCTTCTTTAGAAATTGGCAACATTTGCGCAGGTTTAAAACCGGTGTATGTTATATCTCTGGTCTCTTTTATCTAAGTTTATAACTAAAGCAGAGATACTAACAGAATAGTTTATAAAAATGTACATCTAAAGTAGAAATAACTAATGGAATGGATAAAAAATATTTGTAACTAAACTAGAGGTATAATAATTAGGAAATGTTTGTAACTAAACTGTATGAACCGAATAATTATTATTAATTTTGTTTTACTTTTTTTCTGAGACGTTATAACAGTTAAAAGTAAAATTGTTATTATAACATTTACTAAATTGCAGTGGATTTTGTAATGTTGTATTATTTTTATTCTCAGTGGTTTCCCTAATATATGTGTTTTTTGTCTCTTGTGGATCTACATTTATTTCTTGCTGTATAGATGAAGTACACAAACTTGCACTGTATCTGGGTTATGTAGTTTCAGCATTTTGTTCAGAGTATTGTTCAATGTCTTTACATGCAACTTCTCCGTTGAATGTGCTTGTGCTGCAAATGGTGTTCATTATTTTATTAGCAGTCATTAATCTATTAGTTGCAGAGTCATCTATGTACTGCTCGGCCACGGTAGAGGATTTCCATCCCCCGTGTCGATTTAATGCAGCAAGATCTGCTCCTGCATCTACCAAATTTGTTGCAGAAGAACGCCTAAAGGTGTGGCCAGTATATTGTTCTGGATTCGGAAGATTTAAAAACTTTGCCACTACCTTTGGCACAGTGCCTATTTTATTTATACCCACTACTTGTTGGGTGCATTTTTTATTTTTATAATTAAGAAAAAACCTTAGTTGAGTGGTTGGTGGCCTAAGATTGGCATATTTTTCAAATATGGTATAAAACGGTCCAGTAGTCGTGAATTTTCTGGATATTTGGTTTTTTGTGTTATTTATTTTTATCACAGCTGCTGTACCCAAATCCAATTCATCTGGAGCTGTTTCTATGAAATTATTTATTTTTTTTTTGCGACAGGACTTTGGCTTTTTTTGGTTTATAGCCATCACTGTTTCTCTTTAAGAATGCCTTTAATTTTAGGTACTAATAAATATCAACATTGTGTTCAATAGACAAAGTACACCAAGGGAAATTTTTTGCTATGGTAGCAAAAAATGTATTAAATCTTAAAAAAACTCTATTAAAATAGGCGACAGCCAAAGTACTTTGCTACGGTTATTAAATTCACTTTTTTGGAATTACTTTTAGTCCCTAAAAACTTACTTTTTAGTTTTTATTAATTTTAGTGGTTAGGAAGTAAAATTTTACTCACTAGAAAGTAGATTTTTATGGTTAAAAAGTAGGTTTTTAGTGGTTAAACAGTATTTTTCTTGCAGTTAAAAAGTATTTTGTTACCTTGAACAGGCAGTTTTAATTGTTAAAGTATTATTTTTTATCTCTTAAAAATAGATTTTACTGGTTAAAAATTAGACTTTTAGTGGTTAAAAAATAGTTTTTATTAATTAAAAGTAGTTTTTATTGGTTAAAAATTAGGTACTGATTAAGAAATTATTTTCTTTGCAATAAAAAATATTTTTTTTTACCTTTAAAAGGTAGTTTTAATTGATAAAAAATTGTTTTTAGTGGTTAAAAAGTAGTGTGTAGTGGTTTAAAAGTAACCTTTTACCTTTAAAAAGTAGATTTTAATGATTATACAGTTATTTTTTACCTTTATGGTTAAAAGTAAATTTTGCTATTTAGGGCTGGTTTCTTTAGCTCTTAGGCCGTTTTTTTCTATAAAAAAATAAAGTTCAGTTAAAGTCGAAATACAAGAATGTTTTGCATTTATTAAACGTCAAATTTCCAGATTTACCGAGGATAACTGAACTTTATATTTGTTCATAATGAAACCAGTTCTGTAAAAATAGAAAAATTAACTTTTCTAGGTATATATAATTATTAGAGCAAAATTAACTTAATATATACCTACACGGTGTTCAGGGGGCATGTTTTAATCGAAAGTGACTGTACCTCGTTTTTTGTTGTTCGGGGGTATTCCTGGGCACTTTCTGAACAACTTCCAACCATTTTTAAAATCGCCGACTTGGCACTTTTGAAAAATATCAGGAAAAATTGGCCCAAAACGCGTTGTTTTTATTTTATTATGGGGCAAAAAGAGCTTGTTCAAATTTGATACTTTTTTAATGGATTCTCTGGTCAATTTTTTCTTCAATCCATTAGGTTGACTCCTTATTATGAATATTAAAGGGTATGATGGGATGGGACTAGCTTACCTGAGAAATGAACAATCAAGAAGCGGCGTGAAGACGTAATTTGTTTCTCGTACTTTGTTTTTTTTTGGGGGGCAAGTTGTGGAGAATATAGTGGATATTTCATGCTAGTAGGATAATGAAGTGTACACTGAAATGCTGAGTAATTTATATTTATTTCATGTATTCACAAATGATACTATTATATTCACATACAGAACGAAAAAGTATTTTATTGTAATCTAGGTGGCTGTTTGAAACTTTATACTTTTTTCATGTCTCATTGATCATTGATCATGATCATGATGCACAGATTCAACAGCTTGTTCACTATAAAAACCTAATGCGTTTCCCGTCGAATCACAAAATTCCTCGACGTGAAAGAATATAGCATGAATTTTTGGGGTCACTGATTTCAATAATGCTAAATAACTTCGTCTAAAGTCTGCAATCGAGGATTTGTAATTTGGTGTCAATATCATCCCAAAACATTCATGAACAACACGTCCAAGGCAGTCCAGACTTTCAACATACCTCAAGCAACCCAATTCACAGTTTGCTCTCAAAAGATCCACTTTACTCAGAAGAATTTTACAGGAGTTTCCTGTGAATGCTGCACCACCCTCTGGACATTACATTTTTTTATCCAATTGGCAGCATCTTTCTCAATAGTCCAGGATCCGTAAATAAGGTCGACCTTCACCCATCTGTTTAATGGATAAAATTTTTTTTTTTATTAAATAAAATATGTTTTTAAATATACCGCAAATGGGTTGCCTAAGAAAATACGGTCAGGGCCATTTTTTGCTTTCCTTTTTGTGTGCAGATAAGGAAAGTATAGGAATCATGATAAAAGTTACTTATGATGCCATTCTCTATTATTTTGTTCCTATACATAATTTCCCTAAAATGGACCTAATTCGAGATATTTGAAGGCAACCCAAAAATTTTCAACTAGGTTACTTGAAAATTTTTTGTGATTTTTAAATATTACTTTCTCAATAAGTTCCACGGTTTACTATATATATTTTATTGTATAAAACAAAATCTAAATATTTCAAAAACCTTATTTTTAGTTTTTTTCTACTCCATCTAATCAATAAATAATAGTATAATTCGAGAATTGTTGTTGAGGACTTACTTTCTCGTGAGGCACTGTACAAATACTCACATTTTTAAAAAAAAAATTCTCAAAAATTTGCAAGGTAAGGTATAGTTAAAAGTTCAGTATTAGATAAATAAGGACTTCAACTATTAGACAAAAATTAATTTTAATCATAATGTAATAATTTTTTTTTAACATTTGAGGCGAGAGGTGTGGCGAAAGGACCTCCTTAATAAAAAGAAACTTTCATCCATTAAACAGATGGGTGAAGGTCGACCTTACTTCGGATCTCAGGCTACAAAGCCCTCAAACATATGGTTGACGATTGTATTAACTCCACCTAAAAGTAGATGAAGTTCTGGTGGAAGAAGGAGGTACAATATTTTACTGTCTTTAGGTCGTGGAAAATTGGAGGATGAATACAACTTTTGAATTTTTTCGCATCTTTTCGAACAGCGCCTGCTTCAAACCATTCTTGATAATGTTGCAATGAATTTCCGATAGTTCGGTCCAAACCAGGTTTATCTAAGTGACCCTTCTGGGCATAGCACCAAGTACATGGGTTGCTAGAGGCGTGCGTCATTATACCCAACAATATGTTGGCCAGCTTTAAATCAGTTGCTATTACTCCGGTGAATTCATTGATTTTCAATAGACTCCATAATTTCGCAATGTTTGAGTAATTTTCTTGTGTATTAGAAGCAATAGCAATGACAATTAATTTTTTCACTCCCGAATCCTTGAAATTTTTGCAGATATATTTTGAAAAACTTGAGGTGGTGTGATTTGGTTCAGCCAAAGATTGCATGGAAAGACAAATTTTCAGAAATCCACTACCTCCGTCGATTCCAAACTTGAGTAAAATTTCCGAATTGTGCCTTTCCTCGTTTATGTGCTCAATCAAACTATGTAAGTCCTTACAAAACGCAACTGGTCCTGGAGCTCCGGTTTCAACATTGGCCTTGACGTTTATAGTTTTTCTTCCAGGTTAATTTCGAATATTTCCCGATTTTTCGTGGAAGCACGCAGAATTGTGGACATTGCTTCTACGGAAATGACACGATTATTTGACGTCTGAGGCCCGGGATTCTGGTGTATATTTAATTTTAAAGGCTTTTCGTGAATTTGAGACAGAGAGATATCCTTGTTCCGACCACCACTTGGCGTTTCTTCAGTCTGCGATATCGTATGCGTATGCTTCAGCATCATTGAGGTCAATTGCTCGCTTTTCTTTTGCTCCATAGTTTCCATAAAATCTTTTATGTTGTTTAAGTGAGTTGTTTTAGTGCAATTGTGATTCTTACCTCTGCCAATCAGTGTCAAACATTTCACACATCTCTTTTCACTCGACGTTTTTTTCTTACCAGCTTTTTGTGGCGCATTGCGGTCTGTTTCTGATTTGTCAACATATTTCAAATAGCGCTTTCTGACCAATTCACACATATAGCGCAAACATTTATTTTTCACACTTTTTGATCTCGTGTTGATTCCATTGCGAAAGAGTAAATAATCTGGTAAATTGAAATTCCTGGCCACGTTTCCTGCAGCAAAAATGCGGTACAGCTTTGTTTTACACGCACAGCACAAAATGTTCGGCATGAAATCGGTGATTTAAAAATTCAAGAGAGATTTCAATTTGCCCGCTAATGCACCTTGAATGTTCACGAAATTTGTACCTTTTTGTAAACATAAAAGGCATACACGCCCCCCCTTTTCGGCATTAGAACTGGCATGGTTCAGTTTCTTTACTTGGAACATTTTAATGTTATCTTCTATATAGAAATCGATTCGAGTTTTCCGCTCTACAACTTGTAGCGAACTGACTGACTCGTTGTTTCATTACCCGATTCATTGTTTATGATACCGGTTTTACAGAGTTAGAGCGAGAGCGCTTAGAATAAACAATGCTGCTTGAGTGAAAAAATGCCAAAACAAACTTAAGGAGCATGAAATTAGGAGATTTTTCCTTTCCCAGATAAATGCATTGAAATATTTGATGTTTATGTTATTTGTTGACCCCTTCCGTCCAATATACTCAAAAAATAGTCGATATAATAGCTGTAGCAAAGAGTTTAGAGCAGGAAAATAATCGAAAAAGAAAAAAAGAGCAGGAATTTTTCCTGAAGGTTTTTCCTGATTTTTTTTCAAAAGTGCCAGGTCGGCGATTTAAAAAATGGTTGGAAGTTGTTCAGAAAGTGCCCAGGAATACCCCCGAACAATAAAAAACGAGGTACAGTGATTTAACCTGTGGTGGAAATACAGATCAACATAGGAAAGGAAGGGTTTCAAAAATAAAAGAGACGATTATTTTGTAATAAATATGTTAGTTATATTGCTAAATATTTCAAAAATGTATTTGAATTTTAAAAATTCAGTAGGTTATGTAATATAAAATTGTTATTTGATTATTTTAACTTATTTGTCTTTAGACGTATAATAACGTATGGCATATGTATCAAGAAATTTCAAATGAGCAGTTAGTAGCTTTAAATTAATCCGGTATTTATTCTTTGTGAAAAATCCTAAAAGAAATTTTATTCTAAATATATTGTTTTCTGTTTATTATAATATAGAATAAAATAAGAAAATCCATGCCTTTAGGATTATTAACTAAATTAGTTAGGAACATAAAAACATAACATTCTTCTATCTACCAGGTGGGCCATTCCAAACGATCCTTCCTTAATATCTAAAAAAAAAATTATTAATACTATCTCAGAAACGCAAATTTCGAATTTTAATAAACTTTAGCACCAGTCGTGGATCCTAGAAACCCCCTCCCCTATATCAGTAAGTTAAGAATTTAGATACAAATTAATGTCCCCTATTTTTGAGAAATGTTTAAATTTAGGTTTTTAAGGTCTGTTATACTGTTAAATGCAACAAAAAATAAATCAGTCTCCCAAATCCTTTATAAAACTGTCAAAATTCATTAAAAAAACTTACTTTTTAGTCCCTAAACACGTACTTTTTAGTTTTTATTAATTTTAGTGGTTAGAAAGTAAAATTTTACTTACTAAAAAGTAGATTTTTATGGTTCAAAAGTAGGTTTTTAGTGGTTAAACAGTATTTTTCTTGCAGGTAAAAAGTATGTTGTGACCTTGAAGAGGCAGTTTTAATTGTTGCAAAAAATGACTCAGTCTCCCGAATACTTTGTAAAATTGTCAAAATTCATTAAAAAAAACTTAAGCCGGAACATTTAAAACAGAAAACATTTGTGGCATCCGCATTATCAATTTCCAAACAAAATTAAATTATATAAGGTATATCTAAAAAGATAAAAGTTTGCCATCTTTTCTACTAATTCTCATTTCTTATTCTAGGTTATTTCATGTATACCTAAACGCTATACGGATGTGCATGTTTAATTTGCCAAAAAGTGGTACAAAAAAAATGTGTGCCTGCCGATATACCGGGAACGGACTGAACGGAGTACACCGAATACACGAAAATTTTCTCGAGCACAGACGAAAAAGTTCTCGATCGAAACCGATCGTTATTTTCTAAAGATATTTTTTATTGGACTTAAAAAGCGAATTGTTATGATGGAAAATATAGTTATTAATATTTTGAATTTCTACTACAGAAAATAAATGTTTAGTAATTAAAAACTATTTTGAACAGCAAAAATTATTTTTGCAGGTTCTATAGACTAAAAAAAATATTTGCAAAGGTAACAATTTTTTTTTGTATAGCGATAAAACTACCTTAAAAGAGCATTTTATTTAGTTGCATGAATGTATTTTTTTAATTGTAGCTGAAAATTTATTTGTGGTAGCAAGAAATTTCTCAACAAAAAACTTTTTAAATATAATTCTCTCAGTGTAGTTCTCAACATTGAGTACTGTGTCTACAAAGTCGAACTTTGTACTTTTGATGATAATTCATTCATATAGGCGAGTAGAACATTTTCAGAAAACGAACTCTTTATTTGTTTCCTTTGTCTCCATTTAATGAATTGATCATGATACCTTATTCTGGATTTACAGGCAACAATTTGAGCGACTGTTTTTAGCAGCTTCTGCTATTTCTGGAGGCGTACATTCAGAATCACTGGAATCCATTTTTTTTGCGAGCTCAGTGCAATTTTACAATAAAATAAAATTTTACAAAATGACTGCTTGTGTATTTGACAATTAATACCACAGCCTGTTGGGTTTAGTATAATCACAATAGCCATGAAGAATAAGTTTTCCTTTACTTTCTTTTAAATGCATTAACCAGTAATCTTTATAAAACTTAATTTTAAAGTTTGAATTATCTTGTAGACACTGGTATGTATTTGAACACAAATCCCAATAAACTTTAAATATTTTCAAACTAATAGACACATACAGAAAGGTGTATTATAAACACTAACATAAACATAACCTCAAAAAATCACATTGTCGTATTTGAAACCGAAAATAACATTATAGAAAAAAGAAGAAAATTATTTTCTTTCCAGAAGTACCTTCATAGAAAATGTTGTTTCAATATTCGATAAATAATAGTGAATAAACATGTTCTATTATTATTTTATAATTTTAAAAACCTATATAAAAACTTTATTGCTCATTTGATGTTATATAAAAATTTGTAATGACAATTATAATGATAACTTTGACGTACCTGTCACAGGTCATATTTTTTACTTTTCAATACATGTCTTTTGCTATTTTTCAATACGTGTGTGATATAAGATATTTCAGTACGCGTGTGATATAAGCTACTTTCTTAAGATCAAATAAGTGTGCAAACTATCATTTTCGTATGTGGTCGTAGGAAAATATATTTGCAGAGGTCATCATCCAACCGTTTAATCTTCAGATTGCGACTGACGAATAATGGGTTTAAAATCTATTTGCTGAGATGGATTACTCTTATTTCTATAAGGGCGGGTTGTACAAAAAATGATTTAAACCCAGTTTAGATAACAGGAGTTTAATTTTTAATTGGTTTTATTTAAAGAACCCGTTGTTTAATAGCACCTATCAACGCCGTGGGTTAACTAACTGTGCTTTTCGTTATTATTTTGCAACGTTGGTAATGAAGTAGGCCGAGTACGCTGTTTGTTATTCGTATTACATACGTTATAATTTGGACTGTTTGTGTCACTTGAAACGAAAGTTCTCTCCTAGAGTTCCTAAAGAATTCTTCGGGTCTCACTATAGTCACATTAGTCACATTAGGTTATGGTAATTATACGACTGAAATTAAGTGAGGGTACTTATTGATATTTTTTTATTTTATCTCTTATATAGCACATACCTTGGTACCTACCTATACCTATGACCCGGTTACATTAAGTATTACTTAATTATGCGGTAGGAGTTTATCTGTCCCAACAAAGTTAATAATTAAATTAAACCAATCAAAATTATTTTGATATGTTTAATTTTTTTTAGTTTTATGATTATCTATAATTCTTTTTTATTTTCTTTTAAGGGACATTCATATTTTTCATGGTAACTAACATTTTTACGTCTAGTTAACAAGTGCTTTTCTACGCCTCCAAAAAATATGAAAGAAGTGTCATTCGATTCGGAATAGCATGTAGATGATTTTTGAACAAATTTAAGAGCTGCTTGCAAAAATTGCAAAAGTTATAAACAAACTGAAAAAAAATTGGGTTTGGTTTTTTAAAAATATCTCGAAAACCATTTTTTTAATTCGTAATTTTCATACTTAATAAGTTATAATATTTATTCATTAAAAGTTCACAGTGGGCGAAGCTTACGCAAACCAGAGTTTCCGTTTTCGGCCGTATTTTTAACCCTCTGGCAAAATTATAACTATTGGTCCTACAGTTTCGAGTGAAAAGACTGTTTTGAGATATTTTCAAAAAACCAAACCCATTTTTTTTTTCAGGTAATTGTTTATAACTTTTGCAATTCTTGCTCTTGAATTTTTTCCGCGGATGTCATTGATCGAATTGAACCTGCTAAGCAAAGCTGCTATCTTATTTTGTCACTTTAATAT